CCATCATGATGCAGACGGCTGTCGAGATATTGATTGCTATGACATGTCTGCAGTAAAAAGTAGAGAAATAAAAGTCCTATTGAACAACCAAAGAGGATAAAAGCTGTGTGATTATTGATCCTGAGGCAATATGACCACCGGAGTCTTACAATACATTTACAAGAAAGTCATTGTTATTGTTTAAACACTATTTTATTTTTTCCACCTTTAATATTATTTTCAACATAGCACACTTTCTACAAACACATCATTTATCTTTTGATATAACAAGAATTGGAAAGGTGTCACTTCAGGCTCTCTGTACTGTATGTTGATGGGCACTCATTACGATTCCAAACAATCAGGCGGCTATCAGAGAAATGAATCAACTAGCTTTCACATCACAATAATCTGATGACATTAGATATAGACATTATATAGATTCAACTTATTGTCATTACAGAGTACAGGTACCATGTAACGAAATTGTTTCTCTGCATTTGACCCATCCTAGTGTTAGGAGCAGTGTGCTGTCATTATGTACGGCGCCCGGGGACCAGTGTAGGGAACGGTGCCTTGCTCAGGGACACCTCGGTAGCACTTGAACTGGTGACCTTCCAGTTGCCAAGCCAAGTCCCTATGGACTTCGCCACCACCGCCCTCCAAATACCAGTACAAGAGCATTTCCTTTAGCATTGATTACTTTTGAATTGTACTTACACAGTTTTACTTTTAATTATCATTTTGTGCAGGGCTTTTACTTGTAATTGATTATTTTCCACTGTTGTATTAATAAGGATGTCTCTTGGGCCTTTTAGCTTTCCCTCTGGAAAATAGACGAATAGTCATCATTTTACATTTAGTGAGCTGCGCGCTCACAGAGGGGTTTGCAGCAACAGTTACGGTGTTTCATCTTTTTTTATTCAATCTACATTGCTAAAGAAAACAAGCAGCACATATTCTATACACACATCAACTGTCACTGACTGAGGAGATCTGCTTTTAATTTGTTTCTAAACATGGATGCAGAGAGGTTTCGCTTGAACATTCAGCACTGAATATAACAGTTAAGCTTCAACGTTTAAAATCCTAACAACTACCCATCTCTGTTATTCAGAGACAGAAATAAAAACAATAGGATTGAAGTGTCAGTCTGTCTCCCCCTGAGTCTCAGCAGCATATTGCACATGTATTATTGATGATGCTCTTGTGTTAACGGCGGGGAAAGTAGATTTGCGTTCCTGCTTGTCTCAATCATCACTTAGCTCCAACTTATTCTGCTCTGATGGTCTGCTTACTCCCACATATTAGGGAAACTGCTGCTGCTCCCCTATTCCCAAAGCTTTGACTTGTGAAGATGTGCTTTGCTGAGATTCAAATGAGAAGGCTTCAAGTATACGGGTGTCGTTTATTGTCATTTTGCAACACAGGGTTTCTCAAGGAACTGCAGTCGTGTTTTTAAGCCATTATACACAGGAAACAATAACAATGGTGAAGGATCTGGGCAGGTATTATGGCTGACGGAAAAAAATCGGAATAATATTGTTCGTCAACTTTTTTTCCCATCAACCTGACATCAATCAGGAGCATGCTGGGAATGGGAACAGCCGTACAAGTTGCAGGGGTAGCCTAGCTCCCCTCTTGGCTCTCCTCCACTCACTGCTGGCTGGTCAGAAGCTTATTATACATCCATGGTCAGAAGATGCCATGGGCGGCCATCGTCTTAAGTCCACAGCATTTGATCTTATCACCAGACATCCTTCTTTGATTAGCTGAGCTCCAGTAAAAGAAGACGAAAAGAGAAGTCACAACAGTTCAAATGTAGCAACGTTTTTGGAGCAACATGTACATCGTCGGCATGATGCAAGACAGCAAACTATTGTCATTTATCATTTAGCACGGGAAAACAACTATAGAGCATGTCAATATTGACGACGGTCAATGACTTGCAGTTGAACGACTCTGCACTGAAGTGTCCGTTGTGTTCATCTGGAGATAGAGGTGCTACCCAGCTCGACGTAACAAAATGCTTCAAAATGGTCAAGAAGCGCTGCGCTCAAAATAAAACAAATATGTGTATCACAACCTTGAATTCGATTGCCGCTGACCTTACAATGCACAGCCAATCAGATAACAGATGTGTGTTGTGGCGCAGGGAAGTTAACGATATAACCAGACAAATAACCAGCTGTTTTCTCCGCAAAGTGCCCAACCCTGTGGTGAGCAAAGAGCAAGTTGTGCATCATGGAAGATTTACCAACCAATAGCCGTTTCTTTGTTTCTAATATCAATTACAAAACCAAAATGAAATCATCATGGCAAAACTGTAAATGTTTTACAATCATGACAATAAAGCTGCATTAAATTTAGATATGACAAATGTGTGTGTGTGTGTGCGTGTGTCCAACATTGATGAGAACCTCAGTCATGACTCACTCTGGGTTTTATGGCTCATACACTTTTGAACAAGCTGTCTTGTCTCTCTGTAACACTCCATCTTTTTCTCTGCTTTCTATTCATTTGTAGCTCGATCCTCCTTATTAAATCTCTCTCTCTCTCTCTCTGGCTCTCTCTCTCTCTCTCTCTCTCTCTCTCTCTCTCTCTCTATCTCTCTCTCCCCCTCTCTCTCTGGCTCTCTCTCTCTCTCCCCCCACCTTTTCTCTCTAAGTCAATCTCTGGTCCCTGCTGGCGGTGAGTTCTAATGAGAAAACACAGGGGACCAACAGAATAATTAGGTTAACGTAGATTTGCATGTCCCCCTTCTACTCTCTCTACAGGGCACACACACACACACACACACACACACACACACACACACACACACACACACACACACACACACACACACACACACACACACACACACACACACACACACACACACACACACACACACACACACACACACACACACACACACACACACACACACACACACACACACACACTCCCTCTCTATGGGGACCAACAGATAGCACCCATTACTGTCAGGCTCATCTGCCTCTAATTGGCTGTGATCGGAGCCCGTGGCCCCTGAAGGGAGGGGCCTCAGATTCAATTTAACCGTGTGATTGGTTCCTTTAAATATTTAATGTCCAGGACTAAAAACAGCCAAGGCAACACTTCCTGGAATCTAACTCACTATGACCAATGTTGACACAGTGTGTGTAGTCTATTTGTGTCCGTGCCTGGACAGTGTATTTTTGTCAGTCTGGATCTCTGTGTGTGTGTGTGTGTGTGTGTGTGTGTGTGTGTGTGTGTATTTCAGCAGCTTTCCTTTGATTTCAGTGTGTGTATAGATGAACATACACCAACTGTGTGTTTGTTTTTAAGTGTGTGTGCTGATTTAATCTGTGTTCTGAAATACAGTATACAAATCTTTCTCTTATGTGTGTGTGTGTGTGTGTGTTCGATTCAATGTTATGAGGGTGGGTGTATGCATTCACAGTGTGTGTATATACGTATATGCGTTTGTGTGCTTTGTCTCGTTGTTTGTTTGTGCCGTGTTTGTGTGTGTGTGTGTTTGTGTGTGTGTGTTTGTATGTGTGTCCCAGTTAATCCGGCAGGCTCAGGGGAGAGTGACTGGAGCCATCAGAGGCTTTTCTCCTCATCCAGCCAATCCCACAACACACACACACACACACACACACACACACACACACACACACACACACACACACACACACACACACACACACACACACACACACACACACACACACACACACACACACACACACACACACACACACACACACACACACACACACACACACACACACACACACACACACACACACACACACACACACACACACACACACACACGCAGTGTGGAAGGGATATTAGGCAAATACAATACTCCGAGAGATAAAGATAATTACTGAGTGAGAAAAAAAAACTTGATAAATGAATGATCTTATTTTGAAATGTGGGCTACCTTCACCTGATTGAGTTTAACAATGTAACCGATGAGAAAAAACACACAGCAGAGGCAAAGTGAGTGGGAGGGGGGAGACAGGGAGAGAAAGAGTAAGAGGGAGTGGAATGTAAAGAAGAAAGGAAGGATGAAAGAGGAAAAGGTGGATACATTCCAGACACTGTATAGAGCACAGAGAGAGGAGGTGACAGGAAGTGGAAATATAAACACATGAATGAGAACCAGGAGAGGCGTTGAGGGGCTGAAATACCTTATGGTTATTGTATGTCTTGATCTTAACACCATATAACAAAAGCATGATATTTGTCTTTCTCCTCGGTTTCGTCGCTTCTCTTCTCTTCTCTTGTTTTTCTCATCTTCTCTAAAAACAGAGACCTGTTTACATGACGTGTCATAACTGCTGAGATGTTGTTGACACTCTCTTTTGTGTTTATTATAACTTAATATAACAGCTGGGCACCCGCCTGGCTCTTTCAGTTGTGTGATTTATTTACATTTTACAGTGACATTGACGTCACTTCTTCTTCTTTGGCACGTTAGAGCCCTCTACTACTATTGCAATACTGCCCCGAGTGGCTGTTATTGTTAAATAATGTTTGTGTTCGCTCGGATGAATTTCTTTGAGCTATGACTTCTTTATCCTTGTGAAGCTGACAATTGAGCGGCCCAACCAAGCAAGGAGGCAGAGGCAGAACGTCCAAAAATATAACCCGGTGTGGGCATTTATTAAACTTGAGCACAGGACACAGCCTCAATCTTGCTGTTCCTGTGCACACAGTCACCAGCCACCACCCTACCAGCCTCCAAACAGACAGGGCAACAGACCCTAAATACACACACTAATCAGCAATTCGACACAGGTGGGGGGGGGAGGAGACAACACAGGGCACCAGGTGCACACAATCAACAGCCACAAACATGGGGGAAGGGGAACACTTTTAACATGAAACCAGGAAACAGAGACAGACAAACTAGTTACATAGATTACATATATTCCTGTGCAATGTTTTTAGTGCTATATTACCCGTAACGGAGGCCGCGATCTATGGGCCCAGAGATCACCTCCGTTACATTTCCTTACCCCTCTCCCCAGGAAATACAATGTCTTAGGAATCTTGGCTTCCTCAGGGGGGGCTGTGACGTTGAAAAGAAGCTTCCCTTTCTTCCTCTCCATGCGCTCCTGCTGGTTCGGCGGTCTGACGTGCTCTCTCTCCTGATGGACCTTCTCGGCTATCTTTGCCATCCGCATTTTGCGCTTCAGTTTTTCCCGCTTCTTCCTGCGTCGGAGGTGCCGGTAAACGTGGAACTCCCCGCTGCCTGCACTGGCGCTGGAACCCATCACCTCCCGGACAAACTCCGGAGTTTTGGCAATTATCAAAAGCTGCGACTCCTTTCCTCCAGGTTTCCTTGGCTTGTTATTCTTCCGAGTGTGCACCGCCATCTTTCTAACCGTTCTCAATGCTTCTGCCTTCCTCTCTTCTTCCCTCTGTAACCAGAGCTGCTCCTCTTTCTGCTCTTGCACCAATCTCTGGTTCTCCGCCAGGATCTCTGATGCCTCAGCGGCAGAGCCAGCGCCCGTCGAGCCTCCAGCCAATCTGCCGTCCTGCCTCCGGAGACTCCATTCCTCTTCCCGTGCGAACTGCTGCTCACCGGCTGCCTGAAGATGCAGGAGTGACCTCATCATCTCCCGCAGTTCCTCCATCACTCTCACCTCCTCACTTGGTCAATCCCACTTCTGACACCAATTGTGAAGCTGACAATTGAGCGGCCCAGACCAAGCAAGGAGGCAGAGGCAGCACGTCCAAAATACAACCCGGTGTGGGCATTTATTACATCATAAACATGACACAGCATCAATCTGCTGCCCACGTGAACACAGTCACCAGCCACCACCAGGATCTCACACACACTCCCTCAAACAGAAAAACCCCAGAGCCTAAATGCACAACCCAATCAACCCAACAGGACACAGGTGAGGGGGGAGGAGACAACACAGGGCACCAGGTGCACACACTCAACGGCAACAGACATGGGGAAAGGGGAACACATTTCAAAATAAAATACAATAAACACTACATCAATAAATAGTATAAATTGTCCGAAGCCGTCAGTTCAGTGACGAAGTTACCTTAGTCACATTTCCTTACTCTCCCCAGGAAGCACAGTGTCTTAACTTCGGGACAACCAGTCAGCCACCCGGTTTGACTTCCCTGGCCAGTACTTAACCGCAAAGTTGTACGGCTGCAAGGCACCGGACCACCGCGCGCTGCGCATGGTTGCATCTCTCTCTGGCCTTGGCCATTTTGCTTTCCTCCATGGGTCTCCACTCCGCCCGGTGTTTCCTGGACTCCTCTATGTGCTGCGGAGTGGCTCTGACCTTCTCCAGCCTCAGCTGCCTCTGCACCGGATCCTCATCGTACCCCTTCCTGACCAGCTCCTCAACCGGGAGCTTCTCTGTCTCCGCTGTATTAGCTGCTTCAGCGTCTGAATTCGTTATCTTGGTGATGTATTTCCCCACGGACACAACCTGCGGCCCCTTGGGCAGCGTGGTTTCCTCAGAGGGTGCCGTGATGTCGAAAGGAAGCTTCTCTTTCTTCCTCTTTGGGATCCAATCCTTTTTCTTCTTCTTTGGGCTCATACTTGTGTTGCAGTTCCCCTACTCTGATCTGCAGTTTGATCTTGTCACTCTGAGTCTGTTTGAGCAGCCGTTCAGTTGAGTAGAGCTTCCTCTCCAGCTCCAAAACTCTCTGACGCTCTGACAGAGATTTCCTCCTGAGGTCCTGTATATCTCCGTTCTTCACAGAGAGCATGGACTGCAACCTCTCCAGCTGAGCGGGGTCCGCCCGTAGCCGCTGCATCAGAGTGGCTATCTGCTTCTTCATGCTGAGGAGCTCCCTCTCGTGCTCCTCCTTCTCCTCCACGCTGCGCTGCAGGTGACGCTGTAGGCTCCTGTTGACCTTCTCCAGCTTCTCAGCGGCCGCTCGCTCAAGTTCCCTCTTCATCTGGCGGTTATTCTCCTCCAGGGTTTTGATCAGCTCCTTCTTTCTGGCCTTCTGGGCCGTGAGCTCTGCCTGTCTCTGTCTCTCCAGCTCCTCCAGCAGCTGACGCTCCATGATCTGCTCTGCCTCCTCCTTCTGTTGGTTTCTACGGTCCTGCTCCCGGAGCTCCATACGGTACTCTTGAATCTGTTGCATCACTTCCCTCTTTGGGCCTGGTCCCCATACTGGACGTTAATGCGGCCGAGCTCTTCAGCCAACCTGCCGTCTTGCCTCCGGAGTCTCCGTTCATCTTCTATCTCAGATACCTGTTGTTGTATCCGTAAAAACTGCTGCTCTCCGGCTGTCTGAGACTGCATGATTAACATCATCATCTCCGTTAGTTCCTCAAACTTGCGGTTATTCCCCTCCATCATTTTCACCTCCTCACTTGGTCAATCCCAATTCTGACACCAATTGTGAGACTGACAATTGAGCGGCCCGACCAAGCAAGGAGGCAGAGGCAGAACGTCCAAAAATATAACCCGGTGTGGGCATTTATTAAACTTGAGCACAGGACACAGCCTCAATCTTGCTGTTCCTGTGCACACAGTCACCAGCCACCACCCTACCAGCCTCCAAATAGACAGGGCAACAGACCCTAAATACACACACTAATCAGCAATTCGACACAGGTGGGGGGGGGGGGAGGAGACAACACAGGGCACCAGGTGCACACAATCAACAGCCACAGACATGGGGGAAGGGGAACACTTTTAACATGAAACCAGGAAACAGAGACAGACAAACTAGTTACATAGATTACATATATTCCTGTGCAATGTTTTTAGTGCTATATTACCCGTAACGGAGGCCGCGATCTATGGGCCCAGAGATCACCTCCGTTACATTTCCTCTTCGTAATGCAGACTGAGCTCTGTGTAATTATTTATTATGTTTATGTTTAAGTTTATTCATGATAATGCTCTGGGATTTGGTGTCCAGGGCTGCTGGGCCTTCTTAAGGGTTGTTTTGTGTTTTTCTGTATTTTTCTTTTTGTGTTTGAATGTTTTGTATGTCTGTTTTACATTAATGGTTGAATCTAGTAATCTTTACAATCATGAATCACATTTATGCGTAACAAGTGACAGGAACATTATTTGCTATTATTTCCAGACTGGATTAATTGAAGGCTATACAAATCATTTATTTGAATATCAGGAGCCTATTGCCCAACATTGATTTACTTCGGATGGGTTGTTCTACATAAAACTAAAATCATCACACTCTCTGAAACTTGGCTTAGTAGTAACATTTCCGATAGTGAACTACAAATCACAAATGATTTGCTTTACAGATCTGATAGATGCAGCAGGGGTGGAGGCAGGGGCGGACTGGCCATCGGGACGTTCGGGACGAATCCCGATGGGCCGGTACTGAAGTGGGCCGGTCGGACGATGTGGGCCGGCTGGTAACCGGCAGGGCTCGACATTAAATGGCCCGCTGGCCCGGAAGCACTATTTAGACACCCCGGGCCAGCATAACGTACTTTCCACTTGCCCGCTCGGGCCACTAAACATATTGCTTTAAAAAAATAGTCCTGTGGTATTGGTATTTTGATTAGCAATTTAGTTAAATTGTTTCGTTTATCAACGCTACAACATAGCGTTCCGTGAGTCGGTTGTCGTTGTTGGGTGATCGGCATCTATTGCACGTCTGTCCGTCCTGGGAGAGGGATCCCTCCTCTGTTGCTCTCCCTGAGGTTTCTCCCATTTCCCCCCCCTTAAACTGTGGGTTTTTCTCTGGAAGTTTTTCCTTGTACGATGTGAGGGTCTAAGGATAGAGGGTGTCGTTTTTTCTCATACTGATATTCTGAACAATCTGTGCTGTTGTATTTGCTGTAAAGTGTCTCTACTGTAGGCTATTTTTATTATATTACAGCACTTTGGCTCGACCAAAAATCGTTTCTAAATGTGCTATATAAATAAAACTTGATTTGATTTGAAAAGCAAACAGCTGTTTGCTGCGGAGCGCAGCGGGAGCAGGCTCCCGTGAGCGGGAGCGCGCTCCTTCACTACAGACTATCGCGCCACCTAACCATTCGCCAAATGTTTTTAATACCAGCGGTAACCGGCCAAGCGCCGGGCAAAAAGCAATCTTCAAATAAAAGAAAGTCACCGGAGGAGTTAAAGGAGAGTGACAGGGAGTATGAGAAGAAGAGGGAGAGAAAGTTTCAGCCAGCTTGATCGATGGAGTTGGCTGCAGTGACGCGTCCTAAAACCCTTTTATAATCTATCGATTAGATTTATGATTCGAAAATGATAAAAGTAGGGTAGACGTGGAGATTATCCGGCTGAACAAAACGTGCATTTATCAAACAGGTTTGTTTTCCACCGACCTTATTTCCAGCTATTTTCCAAAACCCTTGTCGAGGGAACCCGCAGCTTACTTCCGGGTTTTAGGACGCGTCACTGGCTGCACCTCTCAATATGATGCCAATATAAACAAGGTCTTCTGTCGGCTCTGTACATCAATGCCGACCTATGCTGACAAGTAAGTGAAGAGTAGACAATATAAAGGTATTGGCTATAGGGAAATGTCCCAGCAGTTTAAGATAATGAAGGTTCTAATCATCTACATTTCTAACTCCTGATGACAGGAAGGCAGCAAGTGCATTATACAAAAAATAATACTCATAATAGCAGCATTTTTTTAACAATGACCACAATATCATTATTTTAATAAACCAAATATGAACAATTGAGGAAAATGAGGAAGAACTGATGATTAAAATGTTGTAGTACAAGTAGTAATGTAGTTAGTGCATACATTACTATTGCAACAAATGTGTTCATTTTCTTCATTATTAGTCGATTTCTTTTGGACGAATGCTCCGGGCCAGTGGTTACAATGGTGGGGTCAGTGATAATACAAGTCCACCAGCCCGGAGGTAGACATTATGTACCCTTAATGTCTACCGCTAGTAAATTGTCTACCCCCCCCGTCGACAATTTACTAGCGGTATTTACTTGTGGTACCGCGGTGGGCCGGGGGCACCGAAGTGAGTCGGTCGAGAGTCCCGGGCTGATTTGTAGTCCCAGTCCGCCCCTGGGTGGAGGTGTGGCTATTTATGTCTCCTCTGACCTTGTGACTGAGCTAATTGCTACTTCTATAGAGAAGTGCTTCTCAAACTTTTTTCAGTAATGTACCCCCTTTGAAACATTTTCTCAGCCAAGTACCCCCTGACCGACCCCGAACATTTTTGATCGAAAAAGCCTATATAAATAATTCCAATATAGTGATGTTCCCTCAGTGTGTGATTTATTAACTCCTTCATGCATGCATTACAACAAACTAAGGATATTTTCATTTTATGCATGAAAAAAATAAGATAACGAAAAAAATTTAAAACTGATTTTCCCAAGGAGTTTTTCAACTGAAGTAATATCTGTTTAACAAACCAATGGCTTGATGATTGTCTTACTTTTAAACTTCAGGTCATTAATCTGCTTAAAAAGCTGAGGGTTAGACTAGGTTTCTTTTTCAGAAACAAGTCCTGTTTCTCTTTTGAAGCCAGGAAAAGGCTAGTTACTGTGACCTTTTTACCTGTGCTGGACTATGGTGATCTGGTCTATATGAATACACCTGCCCATTGCCTGAACAAGTTAGATGCCGCCTATCACAGCGCACTGAGATTTGTCACAAATTGTAAAGCACTTACACATCACTGTACCCTGTATGCCAAGGCAGGTTTGCCATAACTTAATGTACGGAGCCTCAGTCATTGGTATACGTTTATTTATAAAGCCATGTTGGGTAAACTCCCGTATTATATCTGCTCTCTGATAACACAGAGAGTTGCAAGCAGCTATTGTCTGAGATCGCATGATGTAGTATTGTTAGATGTGCCAAGAGCAAGGACTGTCTTAGACAGCTTTTATGTGCGCAGCTCCACTTGCTTGGAACAATCTTCAGCAATAATTGAAACTGAGCAATCTCATTCCTCTGCATGTTTTTAAAGCTAGGCTAAATGAAATGCTCTTTGATACTATGGGCACATGTAAATGTCGATAACTATGTAAATGTAACATGTAAATATAATGTATGATGTCCTTTATATGTGGAACCTACACTGAACAAAAATATAAATGCAACACTTTTGTTTTTGCTCCCATTTTTAATGAGATGAACACAAAGATCTAAAACATTTTCTATACACACAAAATAACCATTTCTCTCAAATATTGTTCACAAATCTGAAAAAATCTGTGATAGTGAGCACTTCTCCTTTGCTGAGATAATCCATCCCACCTCACAGGTGTGGCATATCAAGATGCTGATTAGACAGCATGATTATTAAACAGGTGTGCCTTAGGCTGGCCACAATAAAAGGCCACTCTGAAACGTGCAGTTTTGCTTTATTGGGGGGGTCTGGGGGGGTCCGAAAACCAGTGAGTATCTGGTGTGACCACCATTTGCCTCACGCAGTGCAACACATCTCCTTCGCATAGAGTTGATCAGGTTGTTGATTGTGGCCTGTGGAATGTTGGTCCACTCCTCTTCAATGGCTGTGCGAAGTTGCTGGATATTGGCAGGAACTGGAACACGCTGTCGTATACGCCGATCCAGAGCATCCCAAACATGCTCAATGGGTGAGATGTCCGGTGAGTATGCTGGCCATGCAAGAACTGGGATGTTTTCAGCCTCCAGGAATTGTGTACAGATCCTTGCAACATGGGGGCATGCATTATCATGCTGCAACATGAGGTGATGGTCGTGGATGAATGGCACAACAATGGGCCTCAGGATCTCGTCACGGTATCTCTGTGTATTCACAATGCCATCAATAAAATGCACCTGTGTTCGTCGTCCATAACATACGCCTGCCCATACCATAACCCCACCACCACCATGGGCCACTCGATTCACAACATTGACATCAGAAAACCGCTCACCCACACGACGCCACACACGCTGTCTGCCATCTGCCCTGAACAGTGAAAACCGGGATTCATCTGTGAAGAGAACACCTCTCCACCGTGCCAGACGCCATCGAATGTGAGCATTTGCCCACTCAAGTCGGTTACGACAACGAACCGGAGTCAGGTCGAGACCCCGATGAGGACGACGAGCATGCAGATGAGCTTCCCTGAGACGGTTTCTGACAGTTTGTGCAGAAATTCTTTGGTTATGCAAACCGATTGTTGCAGCAGCTGTCC